GATGGCTGGGGAATTCTGGGAGTGGAAGTCCACCCATCTTCAACTTGTCAAGCTTGCTAACCACTGGTCTATCCCAACCCTCCCTCTGTTCTCCCACCTGAGCAAAGGGCTGGTCCCAGACCCTCTGCAGGGGTTTACCTGTCCCCTTCTTACCTGGAGCAGAGCTTTCTGGATGGGCGGGGAATGTTCATAGCTGGCTGCTTTAATGCATTGCTCAACAGCCTCCGAAAGCAGTTTCTGGTCCTTGATTTCACGCAGGTATTCATCCGCCTTCTGGCTTTCTTTCTGACAGGAGAGACGAACACAACCTGTTTAAATTTGGCGCTCAGCTGTGGTCATAATTCAAGGACCACCTGGACAGAATTGACTACAACTGAGTCCAACATTTTTTGGCTGCTAAGCGAGAAAGGCGATAAGTGAATTTTCCTCCATTTTTACAACCTTCCTTGCCACTGTTGTATATTCTATTCTATTCTATTCTATTCTATTCTATTCTATTCTATTCTATTCTATTTTCTATTTTCTATTCTGTTCTATTTTCTATTCTATTCTATTCTATTCTATTCTATTCTATTCTATTCTATTCTATTCTACTCTACTCTACTCTACTCTATTCTATATTCTATTCTATATTCTATTCTATATTCCATTCCATTCCATTCTATTCATTGCAGTCATACATCGAGGACAAGAGAGATTTTTCTAGCATTTTTCGTTCCAGCCCTTCTGAGTCGCCTTATTTTACCTCATACTCTTTCTGAGCCTCGAGCAGCAAGGCCCCGGGCGACATGGAGGCGATTTTGAAGATCTCCTCACTGGCCTCTGAAAGAGAAAATGGGGTGGGAAGTCTCGACTATCGACTATTTAAACGTCGGGGGAAAGTTTCTAGTCCTCTTCGTTCACATTTGGACTATTTAAACCAGGGGTCTCCAACCTTGTCAACTTTAAGCCGGGAGGACTTCAACTCCCAGAATTCCCCAGCCTCCAGGCTGAAAGCTGACAAGGTTGGAGAGCCCTGGTTTAAACTTCAGGGAAAGTTCCTAGTCCTCTTTGTTCATGGTCGAGCCAGGTAAACCCACCTGGGATCTCATGGAGGAATTCGTGGGTGGAGCGAGAGAAAATGCGCACCCCGTCCAGCTCTGGGACCAGGTGCGAATCCTCGCTCAGAGGGTATCTTGAGGGTTAAGCGTTAAGGAATCGCGGAGCTGACCTTCGCAAATCGACGGGAGAACGATGACCTCTGCTGATCCTTGCTATGAGCCCCAACCTCCAGAGACCCCAGAACTCCAGCCACATCCTAAGGTAGACTGGTTCAAACCATGGAGGCCCCGCGTTCTGCCTGGTTGCAAAGTCAACCAGGTTCTCCAGAGCTGTTTTTGAGTTTTGCATAAGGATACTGGATGCTTTGCTGGTCGCTTCCAGCCACCACAAGGCACCGGTCCCAGGCCATCACAACAGCACGCTGCCGGCTGTGCTGTCGAGTACACCTGTCATGTTAAGGTGAAAAGAACAAGAGAGTCGAGAGGGGCCTTGGAGGTCTTCTCGTCCAGCCCACCTTCTCAAGCAGAAGACCCCCTACTATGTCAGACATAAATGGCTGTCCCATCTCTGATTAAAATCCTCCAGCAATGGAGCACCCACAACTTTTGGTGGCAAGGAGTTCCTCTGGCTAATTATTATAACTGTCAGTAAATTTCTCCTTAGTTCTAGGTTGCTTCTCTCCTTGATTAGTTTCCATCCATTGCTTCTTGTCTTGCCCTCAGGGGCTTTGGAGAATAGCTCGACTCCTTCTTCTTTGGGGCAGCCCCTGAGATATTGGAAGACATCCTATCATGTCTCCCCTGGTCCTTCTTTTCATTAGAGTAGACCTACCCAGTTCCTGCAACCGTTCTTTGTATGTTTTAGCCTCCAGTCCCCTAATCCTCTTTGCGGCTCTTCTCTGCACTCTTTCTAGAACAAAGTCCTCAAACTTGGCAAGTTTAAGACTTGTGGGCTTCAACTCCCAGAATTCCTGGGCTAACATGGAATTCTGGGAGTTGAAGTCCACAAGTCTGAAAGCTGTCAAGTCTGAAGACCCCTGAATTCTATCATCTATCTGTCTGTCTATTGTCTCTCCATCCATCCATCCATATCTATCCATCCATCCATCCATCCATCCATCCATCCATCTCTATCTCTCTATCCATCCATCTCTCCATCCATCCATCCATCTCTATCTATCCATCCATATCCACCCACCCATCCATCATCTATCACAAGGGTCTTCCAACTGGGCAAGTTGAAGACTTGTGGACTTCAACTCCCAGAATTCCTGAGCTAACATGACTGGCAGAGGAATTCAGGGAGTTGAAGTCCACAAGCCTTAAAGCTGTCAAGTTTAAAGACTCCTGAATTTTATCATCTGTCTGTCTGTCTGTCTATTGTCTTCCCATCCATATCTATCTATCTATCTATCTATCTATCTATCTATCTATCTATCTATCTATCTATCTATCTATCCATCCATCCACCCATCCACCCACCCATCCACCCATCCATCTCTATCTATCTGTCCATCGATCCGTCATCTATCACAAGGGTCTTCCCACTTGGCCAGTTTAAGACTTGTGGACTTCAACTCCCAGAATTCCTGAGCTAACATGGACTGGAGGAGGAATTCTGGGAGTTGAAGTCCACAAGTCTTAAAGCTGTCAAGTTGGAAGACCCCTGATCTAGATCTTTATATAATCTATGTCACCCATCCTCTGTCTGTTTATCATCCAGCTAGCCAGCTAGCCATACACTCTATTTATCTCTCTATCTAGTTCTGTATCTAGATTTTTAAATAATCTATATCATCCATATCTATCTATCTGTCCGTCCGTCCGTCCATCCATCCATCCATCCATCCTATCAATCATCTGTTCCTCCCTCTGCCTTCCTTTCATCTGGCTAGCCCAAGAGTCTTCCAACTTGGCAAGTTTAAGACTTGTGGACTTCAACGCCCAGAATTCCTGCGCTAACGTGACTGGAGGAGGAATTCTGGGAGTTGAAGTCCACAACTCCCAAACTTGCCAAGTTTGAAGAAGACCCTTATTCTAGAGCCTCAACCCCTTTTTTATATCGTGGCCACCACAACTGTTGTACGTGGAGGACTGCTTGTAATAAATTTTAGGGAAAGGCAGAAGGAGCCCCGCGGTTTTAGGGGTGCTTACCAGGCCATCTGCTTGGGAGGCGATCGGTAGTCGCAAGTGAATTCAGCCATTTTTTCCTGACAGGAAGCAGAAGAAAAAGGCAACAAGGGACGGATGCAACCAAGCCGACTAATCGAAAAATATTTGCTTGGCTGTCTAAAGTTAGCTGCCTGGGGAATTCTGGGAGTCAAAGTCCACCCAATCTGCCAGAGGAATTCTGGGAGCTGAAGTCCACCCATGATGGCAGTGGAATTCTGGGAGTAGAAGTCTACCCAATCTGCCAGGTGAATTCTGGGAGCTGAGGTCCACCTATGATGGCAGGGGAATTCTGGGAGTAGATGTCCACCCATGATGGCAGGGGAATTCTGGGACTAGAAGTCCACCCAATCTGCCAGGGGAATTCTGGGAGCTGAAGTCCACCCAATCTGCCAGGGGAATTCTGGGATTTGGATCTCACCTTTAAGTTCGACCGGCCCATCCAGACGTAGCCGGTGTTGGTGAAGAGTGCCAAAAACCGGTGGTTGAACGACACGGCCATCCTGAGGAAGGAACCGGCGTGGGGACTGAGCCCAGGCAGGGTCTACAAAAAGGAAAGGAGACCACCGGGCTAAATTCAAGACCCCGATGCCATTCCCCAAATTGACTCATCCCCTTAGGGTTGCAGGTCGTTGATTTTCAACCCCCGTCGGGCCCATGATTGTGGTCATTAAAATGAGCCAGGATCCATTTTATGACCTTTTTGTGGCGGACATGAAGTGAATCCTGGTTTCCCCATTGGCTTGGCTTGTCGGAAACCCTCTGGGAAAGACACGCATGGCGATCCCATGACCCCTGGATGCTGCACCTGTCACAGATATATGTTGGTTGTGCCAGACACTCAAATTCGGGGCAAGTGGCCATGGAGATGCTGCAAGTGTGAGGCAAATAACCCCTTTTTTTCCCAGCACCATAGGAACTCTGAACGGCCACTAAACGAGTGGACATAAACCCAAGTCCTACAAAATAGGGTCAAAATTCAAATTCAGCAGCAGAGATTCCCTGGAAGGAGGTTCCCCAGGCCAGACAATTGAGACGGACAGATTTCCAAGATAAGGAAATCCTGGTGACTCCTAAAATGGCGGCTTCTTTTTATTTTGTATTTGTTGTTGTTGCTGGTGGTGGGGTTTTGTATCCCATCTTGGCTGCTCAGATTCTTACAAAATTACTCTTACAAATAACTCAAGGTGGTGAATGTCTCGAATTCTCCTCCCGCCTCCTTTTTTCCCTGCTACAAGAGCCCTGACTCTGAGGGAGAGGAGGAACAGCCGACAGGGAGTGGAAATGTGGCTCCGGAGGTGGTGGAGGAGGCTGTGGAGGGGCAGAGGCCGGCTGGGCAGTCAGAGGAGGACCCAGGCCCATCCCCTCTCCATCCTAGGGCACGCAGGGAGGAGAGGATAAGGGAGAGACATGGTCTATGAGGGAGGAGAGGGCCTTGATCCCCTTCATGGGCTGCAGCTGTGACAACTGAACAAGAGGAAGGACATGCGTATGGGTGAGCGCAGGAAACAAAGCATGGAAATATCTCTAGTTTATGGTTCCTCTCTGAGTCTGGCGCGGACGTCCTCCAGCCCTTATCTTGCCTGGTTTTGTGTTGCTTTTTCCCTTCTTCTTGTGTGGGAGGTTTTTTTTGGCTTCCGTCAAGAATATTCAGAGCTTGGAAACCAAGCGAAGGAATAAAAGGGGCTTCACTTGTTGTCTGTAACTGTGTTTGTTTTGTATCCCCGCCCGGGGTCCTCACAGAACGACGTATTTTAGTATCAGCTGCATCCCGCTAACGCCAACATGGCCACTTCTAATAAATCAATTTTCTCTGAGAGATGTGGCTAGAGACTTTTGATTTGAACGGGGGTGGATTTGTTGGGAGTCCTGACACATGGTTTATGTAGTCAGGAAAGTGGTTAAGCAACCGAATTCCAGCCCCTGCAGAAATACCAACAATTTCAGAAAGAAAGGATTTGGGCAAACCTACCACCGGGTTGTAGGCTGCGTCATCCAGAAGGTACAGTTCTTGCCCGACCGCAAAGAAAATGTTGGTCACCCTGTTTTGACAAAGGACCGTCCAGCAGGAAGGGGGGCCTTGGAGACCTGGCCGGAGAAGGAGAAAAAGAGATCATCCATCTGAACTTGGGAGAGAAGAAACGTGGAACTTTGCCTGATAGCGACTGCCGTAAGGTCGCAAGTCCTCGGCTTACGATGAGAACGAAGCCCCCAAATTTCCATTGCTAAAGCGGGGATAGTTTGTTCAGCGAGATTTGTCCCCTTTTACGACCTTGCCTGCCACGGTCGTTAAGCGGATCACGGCCATTGTTAAGTTAGGAACACAGTTGCAAAAGGGGATCGTGTGATTCTGATACGCTGCGATCCTTATAAATATGAGTCCATTGCGCCAAGCGGATGGATTTTGATCGCGTGACCATGCAGACGCTGCAGCGGTCATTAAGTGCGAAAAACAGCCGTAAGTCATCACTTTTCTCAGGGCCGTTGTAAACTTCGAACGGCCACTAAACGGGACTGTCGTTAAGTCGAGGACTACCCTCCATTTCCCATGAGTTTTTTTTTGCAGCTCAGAGCTCCAAGGCTCAACTCAGAGTAGATTCTGACTCCTGAACCATGAGGGCTAGAAACATGAGACTTCCATTTTGCCTGAAACGTTGAAAAAGTCCCGTTTTGGCAACGACAGGTAACCCATCAATTTGCATAGGTTCGTTTAGCGACCGTTCAAAGTTGCAAAGGCAGTGAAATAAGGGACCCATGGCTGTGTTGCAGTATTCCACCCCCCCCCATGGTCACATGATGAAAATTCGGACGCTTGGGCAAAATGGGACTCATACTTATGACGGTTGCAGTGTCTTGGGGGGTGGTCGTGTGATTTCCCTTTGGCGACTCTCTGGAGGCTTTTAATGCCATCTGCCAGAAATGGTGTAGGGTCTCCTGCTTGGGCGGGGGGTTCGACTAGATGACCTCCAAGGCCCCTTCCAACTCTGATTATCTGAATCTATAGCTACCTGTCTGCCTGCCTGCTTACCTAGCTACCTTGTCTGTCTGTCTATCCATCCATCTCTGTCTGTCTGTCTGTCTGTCTGTCTGTCTGTCTATCTATCTATCTATCTATCTATCTATTTCCATCTCTCTATCTACTTGCCTATCGACCCACCTCCCTTGTCTGTCTGTCTGTC